GGAGAGTCCTGAAATGAGATAGTGTCTCATTCAGGAAGGTATATGCAACACTCCAATTCCTTTCATATAACTGAAAACGAGGCAAGCCTAAGCTCTAAGTGATTCAGTTTCGTGCTCATACACAGGTTTTATGAAAGCCAATTAGTTGACAAAAAATATCCAGATTTCAAGTCCCACGCTCAAATAAGATGGTGCTGTAGTGCTTCAAAATCTCCTTGCAGCAAAAGATAGCATACTCTTACCTTTACTAACTTGTCACTATGTCTGTTATCAAAGTGCAAGTCAAGATAATGCTCAGCGTAGAAAGCCTTGCCGCATAAGTTGCACACCCATTTTGAGGCATACTCCTCTATTTTATTTCCCTCTTGAACACTGTATAAATCTCTGGATGAGTGCAGTGGACATTTTATGTGAGGTTCTTGGTTTTTAGCTTGGAATACATTATAGAATTGCTGCAAGGAAAAAAATTAGAAAAGGACATGTAACAGTTGAAGGGTTTCTGGAATACAGGTGACTATTTTTCAATTGTATTGTTGCTGTTGTTGTTGGTTTTTCCTTTCAGCTGATGAGTGATTTCTTTCAATGTTAAGACACTTTTTGGAACATGTTAAATGAAGTGCCTCATATTTACAATTTTCTAAATCCACATATATTTTTGCTAAAAAAAAAAAAAAAACAAATTTTCCAGAAATCTCAGTTTCACTTTAGCTAAAAGTTGTTTCGTGATCAAAATCTTAGTGGTGACGAGTCCATAAATAAGTAACATTTTTAACAATACATTGGCATTATCTCTCTAATTTTTACCTCCGTCAACTGATTCCTCACAATCCGGGAGAGGGGTCTAGAGCAGTGACTTTTGGGATCTGCAGTCTGTATACAATGCATGAGCTGAAACTAAATGGAATCTCCATTAAACCTTTATAATACATAATTCAAAATAAACCTAAAAATGAATGCTTTTACAGCAAGGCCACTCGTTTCTTTCCGTAAGATTTTATTTCTCATGAGCTGGTGTCAGTTACTTTGAGTGGCACTACATTACACGTAAGAATGGGCTCTTGGTGTAAGATATCTCTGAAGAAAAATATCTGTCAGAAAATGTGATCCTCATGTAGACAACTGTGAAACGATGCTTCTCGGAAAGTCACGATATACCGAGAATAATAAAACTTACAAAGAGCGCGCTTTCTAAAGAATAAAGCAGAATGATCCATGGTCTTGAGAGCTTATTTTTGAGTAAAACCATTGATGCCTTCAATAAATCTCAGTATTTCCGTTCCCTACAAACATTTCTCAAAACATGTCAACTGCTCTTTCCCGTCGAAAACACCGCCATTTTTCAAAACAAGCGCCTGCACACCTATCTTTCAGTGGTCAACACACAAGAATACAGGTTCGGTATACAAGTAACTCGTGCCATTCTTTCCCGTCATTATCAAAATGGCGTCGATTCGTGCGTGTAGTAACAGTGAACTTGTAGATTACGGTGCCTAACGGAGTTTTCCTAACATTTGAACGTCTAAAATAGAAACGTCGGAAAAATTTTAGTATGGCTCGTTCTAAAAGGTGAGCTTTAGACTTGTCTATGTCTACGAAATTGAGGGATGACTCCTGGTCTGAAACGGCGCACGTGCATCGATTTCAATCTGTTTACAGTCTTGCAGACGCAAGGAACTATAACTGTGATCGTTGTATTGTTACAGCCAAATAATCTATACTATGAATTGTTGGGATGTGATAGTGGTTTGAACGAGAGTGGAAAATTTTCAAATCCATTATCGAAACACCATTGAAAACTAACAAAGATAGAAAATCTTGAGCTTTTGGGAATGGACTCTCCAATCATTTGCTATACATGATATACAGATATTGTGGATTTTCTAAACCCATAGCATACAAGTTAGGTTTAAAGGAATGAATATTATGATTGATGAGTAATTTAGCTTTATATCCTTTTTTTTTTCTTTCAAAAAAGATCAAAGAAGCGAGGTAAACGTGAAGTTGAAAGTGAGGAAGTTTATGATGAGCCGAATCCCGTAAGTGAAGATACAGCTGTATGGTGCAGTATCATTTAATGCTGAGACTACAGATAAAGTGATTATTTTGCTTGACATAATGACAGTTCTTTGTATGGATTATCAGATTCCTCAACAATTGAATTGGAATTACAACAGGATGTTTGCATTAGACTGATTTTCATGGTCAAAAATTTGGTGTAGAAAGCTGTTATTTTTAATTTACACTTTCTCATCATCTGATAGAATGGGATGTCATTCACCCTTTGCACAAATGGCTGACTCAATTAGTATTCTATTATATTTATGTAGATTATCCCAACTAACCTTGTCAGTATGTCCAAGGAACAACAAAACCTTGATTCAAAGATGAGACAAGTTGGGCTAATTAACATGAGTACAAAAGAATATCATTCAGGTCTGCAATTTATGTCTACTGCCTATGGCCTAATCAGGGACTCCTTTCAGAAATGAATCAGTAGGAGAATTCTCCCTGTTGCCCCAATTATCACAGAACAAAAGATAAGTATTGTTTGATCTAGTATTCTGCATTACATGTAGCCTTAGTTCTACTGTACTTTGTCAACAATAATTATAAAAGAATAATGAGACTTCCTCAAACACTTGTACATTTCACAGGAAGGAGATGATTATTTTCTTGATGATATTGATAAATTTCATGCTGAGAGGGAGAAGGTGAGTCTCTTGCAGCACACCTAATTAATTGTAGTTTGGGCTCTGAAAAACTTACTTATGGAATTGTTTTGTGATATGTGCAAAAAAAAAATACTTGTATTACATGTACATATATTCATGCACCAGATAAGATGTTCAAATTAAAAGGTAGAAAATTAGAAACTATCATAAAATGAGATGTTTTAATTAAAAGTTAGAATATTAGAGACCATCATAATGATAGCGAACAATTAAATTCAATCTCATATAGTATATCTTGTTTTTGTTAAGATTCTTTTAGATGATACTGTCAAGGACAAGGAAGATCTTGATGATGATAATCAACAGGTATGTGTAATAATTTGTTTAATCCTGAAATTTTCAGTAGTTGCCCAATTTGTTGAGAATTGTCAGATATATATTATACAAATTCTTGAAAAGTTTACTAAAAGCTACTTTTACTGAACTTTTTTTAATGTACTTCAAGGATGAAGAGATGATGGCCTTGGATATTGGTGATTCTGATGATGAGAGTAATGACAACAATGATGATGATGATGATGATGATGATGATGATGATGATGAAAGTGATATTGATACAGATGACTTGGAGGATGACGAAGTTGATGAGGTACATTGTACTTTTTAAGAAAATTTACTCCTTACATTGTATTTAAGTGATTGGTGCAGAGGTGTTGCAGTTACCTTATAGTTGAGTGGTAATCATGCACTAAGCGTGTCCATTAAATTATAAAGTCACAGGCATAGTGTAAAACCTTTAATGAAAGCAATACCATTGAACCTATTTTAAGTGGTACCATATTTAAGCAGTTACCCTGTATTAAGCAATCGTTTGTCAAAGTCTCCAATTTTTTCCTTTCAGTCACTGTAATTTTCACCTCTCTTAAGTGGTCACCTCTATAACTGCGTGAGTCACCTTTACTTAGTCCCAATGACCTGTTTGTATTGTCCTCTCCCTGTATTGAATGGTCACATAAAGTAGAACTAGTTGAATGAAACTAAGAAGAATCTTTCCAGAAAAATTTAATCCATTCTTATCTCCTAGTTTTGAGAAAGTTTTTGTACATAAAGTGGTTAATTATGTCAGGAAACAAAGTTCTTTTTTTATCAGTTACTATAATACCCCTATTTTGTGGAAGCTGTATTTAGTGGTCACCTTGTGGGTGACTGCTTAATACAGGTTGGACTGTATTTATAATCTTGCAATTCTTTGTAGGAAGATGAAGAAGAAAGTGGAAAGGAAGAAGAACTGGGAAAAGGTGAGCAAAATGACCTGAAGATGCTAATGCTTGCTATGGATAAAAACCCAACAAGAGATATCATTATTATGTTTACATGTAAGCCACAAGAAAGTCCAGATAAAATGCTTAAAATGTATTTTTTTCATAGGCATGCCAAGTCAAAAGTCCTGGGGTAGAAAGAAATCAGCTTTCTATGACGCTGATATTGTTGAAGAATATTCAGGTGAGTGGTCATGTTTAATTCCTTACAGTTGTGCCTCTATTATGCTTTAATTTTTAGACGAGAGAGCTGATTAGGTAATAGATTGATAGATTACATGCGGTAGATTATTACGGGGCAATTGTGAGTTGACAGTCCATTAACCCTTTACACCCTAACATCAGTATACCTTTTCTCCATACTGTTCTCTATACATTTCCTATGGTACTGTCAAAGAGAATTTGTTTAACAATCAAGAGCTTCTTTAGTTTTTGATCATTTCCTTTATTCTCATGACCTCAATATTTGTTTTAGGGGGTGATACTGCTAGGTGGAAAATTGTTACTAATCACTCTTAGGGGTGAAAGGGTTAAACTCCATCCATGATTCTTGATCAGCTCATTCTTGGAAACTTTTTAGGATCAAGGTTCAAAATTAGTTTCAAATCATTTTAGGTCATTTGAGAAATTACTGGTGGAGAGTTTCATGAACTGCAGTCAGCTTTGAAAACAGGCTACTGAAACTAGCCCTGTACTTTATTGCTGAAAAGGAGTGGCTCTTCTAATGTTTTAATGCTGTTGCTATGATGTTTTTGTCATTATTGGTATTATGATCACAAGTAATATCATTAGAAAGGTTGTGGATATTCATAACTTTGGAGAATTACAATAGTAGAGAGGCCTTATTGTTCGACTCACAATATGGTCTCTTTCAATGTGGATTCTGGCATTCCAGCTTCATACAGCTAGTGTCCTCAGGTAATTAGGCTGACTGTTTAAAACATTTCACTATTATTGTTTTAATGTGTTGATCTGTTGTCATTGATGTTGGTATTGACAGGATCTGATGAGGAGATGGATGAGCTGGCAAAAGAAGAGGAAGAAGAGGCTCTGGCCCTACAGAGACAAATGGCTGCTTCTTTACAAGAACAAGATTTTGATGCTGAAAACTTTGAGGTTTGCTTCAGTAGTAAGCCACCTTAAATGTAATTTAGGATTATCAACTATAGGAAGCTGACATTTCGAGCATTAGCCCTTCATCAGAGTGCTTGAAACATCAGCTTTGAAACTCTTTACAGAAGCCAATTTACATTATCCTGTTACACTCCCCTACTGATGCAGCACCACAGTTACTTTAAAAACTTACCCCATTTAAACTTAAATTTACACTAGGACTCAGCATCTCTGTACTATGAGTGGCAAAAAGTCTTTTGATTTCACAAGTATCTCACACCAGCTAGGAGCTCAGAAAGATAAGATTCAACACTGTATAGGAGGGTGGGGGGTTTGATGCAAAATCCAATACCATACAACCAGGTTGAGGGACAATGAAATATGTCAAGATTTTAGGTACAAATTGCAGCACATGTTTCATACATACCTGCACAATCTACTTGTTTCTACAATGCTACTTTCTCTAGTCAGCTGCAGAATCAGTAAAGACTGCCATATCTCATACTCTGGCAGTGAGATATGGCAACTAGTTTCCCTTTTCAATTAACTTACCTTTTTTTTTTCATTATTTTCAGCTTCCACAAACACCTCACCAGAAAGTGAAAGAAGTAGAACTGAATGAGGTACAGTATGGGGATGAACAATTTATGTGTATATGTAGTTACTCAAAGAAGTAACCTCTTCAACTGTATGCTGCTCTCTTATTTTAAAACTTTATAGAAAATGTAATGTATCTTCAAACGATTAATTTTCAGGAGAGGGTTGTTCAAGACCTTACAAAGTTGTCAAAGACTGAAAAGATTCAGGTATGTGGAGTGTACAATGTGTATCTGCAAGGAAATTTATATCAAACTCAACTCCATAACATTGTCTTTAATTTCCTCAACAGATTTTGATCAAAGATTCTCCAGAACTTCTGGGTCTCTTGGATGAATTCAAAGTAAAGGTAAAAACTCTTTGTTTTGTGCTCATTTCATTGCCTTGTCTGTTTAATTGGCTGCTTTTAGTAGGCTACAGACAATTTCCCTCCATCTCAGCTGGTTTCTTGCCTCCCAAAATATGGAATGCCATCTCAATGTTTTGATTCTTTTTCTTTCTCATTAGCATCACTTGGTGTTTTAAGGCTTATCATTATTCAGTTTCCCACGAAGACACCCTCTCAATTCTTCATTTTCAGTGAGCATTCGAAAAACGGCCAGCTGCCTTTTCTATTAACTGCTTTCATAAGTTTGCAAAAGTGCAGTTTTTTCCCTCCAATTACAGTAAATGATTCTAACACTGGAACAACGAAACGTTTTTCTTCTTGTTTGGGTGTGTATTGCCCCTGACACCTATTGGACAAGCAAAAAGATATTTCTGTACTTGCTCATGATAATGTGACAATAAATTTCACACTGGAACAAGCAATAAATGGATGTTTTTATTTACACTTTTTTTTCCATCAGCTGAAAGAAGTCATAGAAAAAGTGTATCCTCTTGTGAAGATGGCAAGAGCAGGTCAAGTCCCAAAAGAGGTACAGTATTGTAGCTACTTGTTAGTGATTGAAGTCATTGAAGATATCCTTTTTATGATTTTTCATCTTTCTTGTTTTAGGGTGCAGACTATCTTGAACTAAAACATCAGCTTTACCTCAAGTAAGTAACTCAAAGATGTCTTAATCAACCATGTGTACACCTTTTTAAGAAAGGTAATGCCAGTCATGTTGGACTTCTGGGCTGGTTATTTGAAAGGCATCGAGGAATCAATAAAAATAAAATTTAAACTTGACTTATGTTTATCATGAAGAAAACGACAGGTTGAAATATCTAACGTGAAATAAGTCTTTGTTTGACTTGAAATATCATTCGCGTTTTTACTGAACAGTTATTGTGTCAACATTGGGTTTTACTTGCTGCTGAAAGCCAGACAAACTTCTGTAAGGGATCATCCGGTGATTGAACGACTTGTCCAGTACAGAAAGGTGAGATTGCCGCCATTGAAATCTTTCCTACTATGTATTAAGTGTAAATAAAGCTTGCAGCTGTGAGTGCAGTATTCTTTTAATGAAACTGTGATGCTTTTAGCGAGATTTTTCTGAGATTATTTAGTCGTTTCACTGCCGCTGAAATTGTGGATGTGATTGAATCAATTTGAACTGCAAAAGCCAAGCGAAATGGTCAAATGATTGATTTTTTTTAAAAGCAGCTGTGACAAAAATTAATAGCCAAAAAAGACTGAATTATTTGAATCTGAATGAATTGAAACTGGCGATGTCGATGTGCAACTGAGTTATGGAAACGCTGACGCTGACAGTGTTCAAATATCATTTAAACTTATGTACTCCTTTGATAGAGAGGAACTGAAATTATACTTATGAATAAATCGATATGAACCGAAAAAATAATCGAAAAATTAGAAATGATCTTGGAGTGATGTCCTGAAACTCATGCAGTGGCGAAAAGTGAGATTTCACCTCGGGGATCGCTATAGCATTTTGTATCTTTAACTTCTACTTGTGTTTTCGTTACCACCTTTGTGTAAATTTTTTCTGAGGAATGAGTGATGATATGTTTTTGTGTATACGAATTATTGGAGCTAAGGCTTGCTTCTTTTCATCTTTTTAAAGCTCATCACAGAACTTGAACCACTCGATGAGAGGTTGAAGCCGGAAATAGAGGAGCTACTTACAAAGAGCCAAATCCTATGTCAAAATGGTAAGATTTTGTCTAATGATCGTTTTGCTTTTTTTCAGAGAGTGCGTGGTTTTTTTAATTGCCTTCTGTATGATCTATTAGTGCTACAAAAGCTGTTAAGACGCGTTATCGGTGAAAGAGTGCACGTGTCGCATTTAAGTTTGAAGGGATTCGTCCAATTTTGGCTAGTTGCGTCCAATTTCAGATAGTTGCGTACAACTTCGGACAGTTGCGTCTAATTTCGGTCAGTTGCGTCTGATTTCGGGCAGTTGAGTCTAATTTTGGACGATTCCGTTAAATTTCATTCGGTCCGGGTTCCACTTTGATTTTCGGTGCTTCCGCAACTGCAGTCTTGTATAATTTAGAATACTTGCACTACTACAATATTTTTTTCATTTATTTTTGTGGTTTGTTTGATTTTACTATTTTAAGACACTCAAGAGAAGATTGATAGCGAAGCAGACAGTAGTCAGGTAAGAAACATTTCGCACACTTAAAAATGCAAAATCAAAAGAGAAAAAAGGCAGTTTGTTACGATACTGTCGATTGCATCTACATGTACCATTGTACCCTTCCACGCACGAGATATAAACATTTTAACCCATGTTGTCTTATTCCCATACATGTCTCTCTGTATTCCCCGATAATTAACTTTTTGGCTCATTAGAGTGACTAGCATCTTATTTCTCCTCTAAAAATTACTCCTGAATCACACATTAGGGTTAGGAGAATACAGGAAATGATCGCAATTTAATAAGCTCCTTATTGTTTGACATTTTCTCCTTGTAAGGGTGTATAAGGTTAACGTTCTAAATGTGCCAATGCTCTTTCAGGAACAATCCAAAACATCTCAAAAGTCTGTGAAGTTGTCAAGTCTTCTTGATGATAGCGATGACAATTACAGCGAAGCAGGGGACAGTAAAAGTGAAAACAAAAAGAGGAAAAAATCGGAGAAAGATAACGTATGTATACTCACTTTTCAGTTGAAATACGGTGGTCAATCTACATTATTACTTTTGTTTTGGTTCGTACAGGAAGGAAAATCGAATAAACTTGCAAAGGACATTAAAGGAAAAAGGAAGATGAAGGATGATGTTGATGAGACAGACCCGTTAGAATACTATGAAGCAGTCAAACTACAGAAGAAAATGAAAAAAGAAGCTAAAAAGGCAGCCTATAGGTAAGGGGGGAGGGGAGGGGAGGGGAAACACTCTCATGCGAGCATATTCTCCTCAGCGTTGTAGCATGTGAAGCGAGGCCTGCAAGAGGTCAGCGGTGGGTCTGGTAAAAAATTTACAAGACTCCTCGCTGGCACAAATCTTGCGACCGTAACCGCTCGTTACGCAAAATGGACGTGTAGGTGCTCGAAGGCCGGGAAATGCCATCACGCCAGAGTTATCACGAGCGACAATGACATACAGCTGACTGTATCTTTCTACATTTTTTGTTTGTTAAGTTTGGAAATAGAACTGTGTTGAGGCCTTCACCTGACTGATTGCGAGGTCCCACGATTTTGGCTTTGGCTAATTAGGCTGTGTCCATGACAGTGTAGGTTTCAGACACAGTGCCTCTCTTTTACAGAGAAGAAATCGGAGGAGAGGGAAGGGAGGGAATGGGAAAAACCTGAACGTGGGAAGAGTTAATTTGAAATCCTTTTTGCAGATAACAAATATGCTCAACTGACACAACCAACGTGTAAGTTTCACGTTATTATGCGACGGGAACGTCCTTTGCACTTTATTTATCCCACATTTTTATTTACTTTGATTTTAGTTTCACCTCAGAACAGCATGATGCTGAAGAGGAAGAGAACGAGGACGGAAAAAGAGGAATTACTTACGAGGTGAGAACTACAAGACTTACAACCGTTACGATCGTTTTGCTTTATGAACCTGTTGACCCTTATGATTGACCAGCATCTAATTTCTCTTTACAATATCACCCCTGAATCACTCATTAAGGTCACGAGAGTTAAGAAAATGATCATCAACTAAAGAAGCTCTTGATTGTTAAACAAATTCTCCTTGTCAGCACTCTAGGAAATGTATAGTGAACAGTATGGAGAATATGCATACTGATGTTAGGGTGTAAGGGCCGGGTTATGTGCCATAATATAATATAAGTAATATAAGTGTCGTTTCGCCTTAGATTTCTCAAAATAAGGGACTTACAGCTAAGAAGAAAAAGGAACTTCGTAATCCGCGTGTGAAACACAGAAGAAAATTCTATAAGGCTCAGATAAAGCGCAAGAGTCAGGTAAGATCCTTAAGAATTTTTTTTTTCAGTTTAGTACGATGTCTGGTATGGATTTTACCTAAATTTCTGTTCTCTTTCACTTTCTATTTTTGTATCATTTAACTTGTTTTTCTCGTTCTTGTTACAGGTCCTACCGGTTGTAAACGAGCAGAACCGGTATGGTGGCGAGGTGACGGGAATCAGGTCACACCTGACCAGGAGTATCAAAATCAAATGAAAAATTATGGGTTATTTTAATTCCTCAATACACTTTCTCCTTACGTAGTTAATGGTTTTAACCCAGGAGTAAAGGAAGATCAGATCAAACATCAAGCTTTCCACCCAGAGTAGAACATTTCGCTTGTAGAAAGCTTTTGTTTGCCGTTAATTTGAATCCTACTTTGTCTGAAGTTATATTTCAATTGAAATAACAGATTTTAAAAGAGAAGCCATTATTATTGTCAAAAGGGAGTGTATATTTATTTTTATTTCTCCCATCTGTACACCTGTGCTCTGTACTTGATGTGAAAGCAGCAGGGAATGATCACTTCTGAACACTTCTTAAGTAAAGTAAGCTTGTTTAACCAACTGGTGGTGACACCCCAAAATATGTATAAAAGACTCAGAAAGATGAGCACGCCGTAAGTTCACTCTTGGTACAGTTCGCGCTACGTAGCACAAGGAAATACATAAACTGGCTGACATTTTTCTATCGTGTTTTTTCTCACAATGCAAAGGAGTTATTTATATCGAGGCAAGGAAATATACCGGCATACTGTATCAAAAGTAACAACAATAACAGAAAAAGGTATCCAAGCAACAATGCAAATAAAACAAACTCTTTTTAGCCCACAATTACATATAATGCCCTCGTTTACGAGAGTTTACGAGAGCTTTCCGGTCACATGGGTTGCTTGGCAAACTCTTAACTGTCAAAGAAGAATAGGTGACGAGTTCATCTAAACTTCTCATCACAGGCTTGGGACTCAGAGATACATTTATTCAAGAGAGACTTCTCTTTGTTCAGATGAAAGAGCACACACGTCCAGCTGTTTCGGCTTTTATTACTTAAGCTATCAACGGAACAAAACATCGGAAATCCGTAAATTGTCGAGTGTTAGCTGAAAATATCACTCTCTCCTCCTTAAATAACTCACTCGCACATCCGTTACTATGGTCTGATATTTACCTCAGGTGTCAGCGGTTGCATGTTATCTTTACCCTCTCCCCTCCCCTTCTCCCAACTGACGTTAGTAATGTCAGAATTATGGCGACGGGAAAAGAACACGAGCTACAAAAAGTCAGTGACTCCTTCGGAGCACTGCGAAGGAGGGCCAAAGAACTAGGAATTAAAGATTCGCAGCTGACGAAATTAACATCTTTGAGGAACCTCCGTAAAAGACGATCAACTTGTCTTGTTTTTACCAGCTTTGTCTTTGGTTTGGTGGGAATATTGACAGGATTCGGATTGATATTTTATCAACAAGGCTTGCTTTCGAATCAATCTCTGTGGAAAGTTGCCGAGTATGTCTTGGATTTTGACATCGAGAAAGACTTTTGTGTCATTCCGTACCCTGAGATAATTTTGGACATGTTTCGTCCGCCCGTAGAATGCGCCATTTGCGAAGACGTGCACCAAGTCGATAGAGTTTCGTTGCTCTCAAGAGAGGAATTCGTTCGAAAATATGCTTACACCTCGAGACCGGTGGTCATCACAGACGGAACAAAGGATTGGACTGCTTCTCAACATTTTAGTTTCGATTATTTTAAGTCAATTTACGGTCCTGAAAGCCCAGTTTTGTTGTCAGAAGATCAGAAGTGTCAATTCTTTCCCTACAAGACAAACTTTAAGTCCCTCCAAGAAGTTTTCAACATGTCTAAAGAAGATGCAAATATGAAGGGAAATCCATGGTATATCGGATGGTAAGAAAGCTTTTTTTTTTTCTATTTTCTCGTTATTACCATGAAGCTTTAAGGAGTGTCTCATGAGAAATTTGTTTGAATGAAAACGGGATTTATGAATGGAAATTAGCGTTTAGTATTGTGTTAACTATTTGTTTGAAAATCATGAAATTTGAACATGTTTTAGTGTATGAATTATTGTGAAAAGTTCCACCCTGGAAAGAGTCGACAATTCCCTTTAATAGAACTTATACTTACTGTTTTTGAGTATGCAATTTACGGCAAAGAGGCTAGGGAATTTGCTATGCTGCATATAAACTGTAAAAGGTTTAGTGCTCATGATCAGCAGTGCCATTTAATGAGATATTTTAGCTCAATATGCTCAAACTTAATATATGTTCTTTTACTCTTAGTTTAACAGATAAGTTTGTGTAAATATTTATAATCTGTAACAGAATTTGAGTTAAATCTAAATATTCGACAGAAGCCAGTTACGTTTCAACCCTAAGTTGATAACAGAGAACTGTGGCCTGAATTTATTGATTTTGAATTTCTTTTGTCATTCCATGATCCTGTGATAAGAATTATTTAACCAGAAAGTAATTACAAAACATTTAAAAAAAATAGATATGTACAGAAATTTCCTATAGGGAATGGATCAGGACTTTCAAAAACTTGAATGTTTTTGTTTCAGTTTTTTTTTGCAACTGATCAACAGAGGAAATTTATGTGTTTCCAAACGGTGCCATCAGAAAAGGTTACCTAACAAAAGCTTTAATGAGCCATTCAATAGAGATACTGATATTTTGAATTTATAAGGAAGAAGGGGTTGCTCAGGGGATCTTAATCCAAATGGCAAAGGAGAACTTTGAAGAAATTGGTTGCTAAATGTGAGCCATCAATATAAGAAGTGGTATTATTATACTGTGCCTCTGATGTTTTGAATGAAATGAGATTCGCATGATTATAGTTGCAATGTTTCTGCTTTTTGCTTAAGCTTATTAAAATTTATGTAGCTCCATAGCACTTTCAAATTATTTTTTTCTGAAAGTGTTCTTTGCCAAATCTACACCGTCCACAATTTTAACTTTTTACTGTGTACAGGATTTGGGCTGGCACAATATATGCATAGTTTTATTATTGGATATAATATGGTTGGTGTGGAAAGATTTTCATTTTATATGTAAAACCCAATAAGCTGTGTGTGAGAAATCTCCCTTTCAATGTTTTAGTGTAACTAAACAGAGCTCTAAAGCCATGCTTTTATAAGGTTGGAGTCAAGGAAATTCATCTGTGAGTTATTGCATATCTGTTTGTTCTGTGGCAAAAGGAACAAGGAATGAAAATATGGCACTTAATCATTAGTTCTTAATTATATGATTTCTACAATATTTAGTTATAATAAGAAAAAATCAGAAATAGTTATTAAGAAAAAATTCAAGCTTATGACATGTATTTCTAATCAGTTTTTATTTAAGAATACAAAATGCTTGTTGTAGATTAATTGATGATACAAATCTCTGTTTTCCTAATGTGCGCTCTTTCAAAAAATAAAACACTAATGAACACTTAGAAGTGAAAAGGACAAATGATAGAAAATCTAAAAGGTACATCTCTAAGGTACACTGCTTGCAATGAAAAACATTGACTGATTTATTTTCAGTGATGAAAAAACAATATTCTTTTAGTGGTGTTGCTACTTTTTGAAATAGTTTTGTTTTTTTACATTTATTTTTGTCAACTTTGATATTATCTTAAGTATTCTAGACAATTTTTAGCCTGAAGTCAGGCGAGAGAGCCTTTCAGCATGAAGACAAAAATGCATTTTTCAGTCTAACCTCTGGTCAGAATAGCATAAATGAATGCTAACTGTAAAAAAGATTTCCTTCCAGTTAATGCATACTGCCTCATATTTTTTAATGATTTTGTTTTGTTTCATTATCATACAGGTCTAACTGTGACTCCTCAGCTGCTAATGAACTTCGTAAACATTACAAAATGCCATATTTTCTGCCTGAGACTTCAGAATCAAGCAAGACTGATTGGTTGTTCATGGGCTGCCCAGGATATGGTGCTCATTTACATGTAAGTATTCTTGATTTTCAAGATCTAGTGTTAAGATAACAAACAATGTGAGAAACCTCCTTGAATTTGCTTATCTTAAAACAAAATTACCAAATGTGACATGATTTTATATTGTCTGTCTGTGAATGCATGAAGTTATTATCCATCAAATGTTTTTAAATTTGCATGGTACATTGAAGGAAAAGAGTTCATCATTACTTGGCAATTGCTTCTTATAGATTGACAATGTAGGGAACCCTTCCTGGCAAGCTCAAATTAAGGGAACCAAAAAGTGGACTTTGGAGCCCCCACCAGAATGTGCCAATGTTTGTGATCCAAAGCTTGAGGTGACAGTTAACTCAGGAGAAATAAGTATGTCAGCTTATATGTTTCTTGTTACTTTTGATAAGGGAAACTATTGTAAGACTGGTTATTTACCCCCCTCCTCTCCTGAAAAAAAAATCAATCATCGCACAAGAAACACTTGTTAACCCTTAAACTCCCAAGCATGACCAAGACAGTATTTCTCCTTACAATATCACTGCAATATCAAGAAGAAATTGATGAGAATAAAGAAAAATATGAATTAGGGGATTATTTGTGGGTCTACCGTAATTTCCGGTCGTTTACCCGCGGGTAATCTGTTGATTTTGCATTAAACGCGCGCCACTGCGGGTAATAGGGAGGTGCGGGTTATGTGATAATTTTAAAATCCAGTGGTAGTTGAATTAAAAAAATTATCACCAACATGCGTTTCCACCTCTCAAATGAATTTTATTGTATTAAGAGTGCCACAAAGCGGCACGAAAACATGATGCCGACTCGAGTTTATTTCACGTATAATTAGTTGCGCGACGAACAAATTGCTATCGGCACGCGTGAAAACAAAACCTTGATGGTGACAAAAATAATCCAAAGATATCCGGCGCATCAGTAACAAATTTCCATTTAACACTAGCTTGAGCTAAGGAGAGAATTTTCCCGTTTTAAGGGACTTTTTAGGCCCAATAGAACCGAAGATATCGATTTTTTTCAGAAATCGCCGACAGTACTTTATAATTCAAGTTTTAATATTCACCCAGCTTTTTTTCAACAAATCAAAATGACGCTGAACGATCGCTCGCACAAAATGTGGCCACAAGTTCGCATTCTGTCAAGTATGAAACGTTGAGATTTGGGCATGGGCCGCTAGTGTTTTTACTGTCTTATCAATAAAGTACATGCTAATATTGACACAGAATTGTGCACGCGTCTGAATTTCTTTGACCTTTAAACTCGACAGAGACGCTTTCAAGTTTTCGAAAGTTGGATCAGACAACTTTTAAAAGACTGAAATGTATCACCTTAATGTCACGTTTTCGCCACCAAAAAGTTGAATAACATAACGTGCGGGTTATCCACCAGTGCGGGTAATCTGTTGACTTTTTTTTTCGCCGTATGCAATAATCGGCCGGTGCGGGTAATCGGCCGTGCGGGTAAACGACCGGAAATTACGGTAATACTAAATTTCTGCACCATAATCATAGGAATTGTTCGGCGTATAATAACGCAAATTACACAATAAGATCTTGAGAATGAAAGGGTTACCCCCTCAACTCCCAAGATCTGATTGTTAATTTCCCCCTGTAGCTGCTACACATTTCTTTGTAAGTAAGTTATGAGAACTTGGTGCTAGATGAAGACAACAGCTTCTACCTGATAAGGTTGAATATTTTCATTACCTGTTTGCTGAAGAATGTATGGATATTGTGGGGAGAAGTTTTATGTTGATCGCTTTTGGGAATTAAAGGGCTAAAAGGCAAAAAAAGATAAAATCTTAAAGCAAGGGTACATTAACTAGGAAGGGTACATAAAATTAATGTTAATAAAAGATACACTTTTGTTTGGGAGCATGGAGTAGTATTTACTAGTGAAAAGTTAATTTTTATTCTTTACATTAATTACAAAATGCACTTTGTTATTTATCTGCATTTGGACACTGTTGGTCGAATTAATTTAGATTATAATTTTGGTGAATTTATTTTTTATTGCAGTTGTTTTGGACACAAACAAGTGGTTTCACCAGACAGACATTGTTGGCAAGGAACTAAGCATAACTATTGGGTCTGAATATGACTAAATGCTCTATTTTAAACACTGAATACAAATATGGCGGACTAATTGGTGCATGGGTTAAGTTCCACCAAAGCAAAGGTAGTCAGGCATCTGGTTTGAATCATGTGGAAGATTTTACTCCCTTTGGTTGGCATCTGGGAACCCAAAAAACTTGTAGTCTTAGCTTTTCAAGGGCTACATTTACAAAACAAAACCTAACCTACCAAGTAATCTGCAAATTTGCATTCTGTCTATGATCAATATTGAAATACCAAGACTCAAAATGGGTTTCAAATAACATAATTGTAGGGGTTTGGTTGTAAAGCCTTAAGTTGCTTTTGATGCAACATGAAATTCTCCTTGAGTGTCATATTTTGTAATACAATCTCATTTGGAAGGAGAATCTAGCAGTTATTCAAAATCACTCAGGGCCTTTTCCATGTACCCTGTCAGCTAGTCAGTAAATTAACTTACTTTATAGTTGCAGCTATATTTAATACAAATTCTTATGTGGTTTAGGAATTAATTTTGATGGGAAATTTGAAATCCCTTTAGAACTGAAACAAGCAAACAAACAAACAGATCATAACAAGACAGATCCATCCAGATGTACAAGTGAATGTTACGTGTTAAGCAAAATTGTTGAGTATATTTTTCTAAGTTTTGACTTAGTCTGTTTTTGCTTTGTTATTTTTTTTATTTTGTCTCATTCCTTTTTTAACTTATATTTTTTGAAAAGTTGATCATCAAAGTATCTAAAAGGAGGAAAAGTTTCCACCCAAAGTTACAAGTAATAAGATTAATGCAAAGAATTCTTATTTGGTTAGTGTGAGTTTCTAGAAATCAAAGTGTGCCTATCAATCAAGACTAAAATAAAGAAGAAAACAAATAAATTAAACCTGTAAAATTTGTAAAATCTAGCGAATAATGATTACAATTTGAGGTTTTCCAGCATTATTTATTTTTGGGAAGTTGACAGCAGTAAATCTCTTTCATATTCTTCCCCACCCCACCCCCCTTCTTTTTTACCATGTAGCATCAATTTTGTGTGGGAGTTGTTTATTTTTGGATGTGTGTTTTATCGGGAACAGAATTTTGCAGTTCCAGCTACTGGTAGATACCTGGTAGCTAAAACTAAAGCTGAATATTTAATTTTGTGATTTTATCTTCAAGTAACAGAATACTAGCATGGAAAGAGACTTTTGGAATAGCTGTAATACTAATTTAAATGATAAGGGAGTTGATTTTACTAAAAGCTAATTGATATTTTCTGGTAAAAAGAGTTATGTAGTATATTTTACAATGAAGTATTGTGGTGTGATGCTGTAAACTATCAGCTAAGTATTTAATGGTTTTAGGAAATACATACTGAACATAAATTTCAGTAGAATTTAATGTGGATTACTGAAAATAGTCTGTTTTTTTGCCTAAAGCGTGGGTGATTGATAGAGAAAACAGATTTTATCATGCGTTTCTCAGGATTTTCCTTGAAATGCTATTTACTCTGCCAGTTTTAAAGTGTTTGAAATGACGAGATATCAAGGCCAAGAAAGACAAAGAGGAAATAGTGTGCTGATTGCGTGTTCGTGGCAGGTGTCTCGTAAGTTATAGGTATTTAATAGAGTGTGATACTGGTGATAAAAATAAATTTGATATTTAAAGAAATGCTAAGAGGAAATAGTTTGCTGATTGTGTGTTAGTGGCAGGCGTCTCTTATGGCATAGATATCGCCGTTTCCCATGTTCACTCGTTCATTCCCTATGGATCAACGACCTTACAACGATTTTTTTTAGAAGAAATTAGTCCCCTTTGCATCATATCAAGTCGCAACTAAATGCGAATTACTTCAGAAACATCGAAAAATTCATCGTTAGAACATTTTTCTAAATCAAAGACGAAAACAACGGTGTAGCAGTTTAGGTCGAGAGCAATCTGACCATGTACAAAATTTATTTTTCTGCATTCACATAAAGTGACTAACTACAACTCTAAGTCAGCAAGGTCAATAAGAGTATAAGGTTAGAGTATATTGGTTAGGCCCAGTCATTAGCTGATGACCTCTATTACATAACTGAACAATCCGACTAAAAAAATGCAAGCAAACGCGATCCGATAGTGTAAAGCACAACAATACGAAACCTAACACCCTCAAAAAAGAAAGTTGCAATGAGTAACATATTTCATCAACTTTATCAAGTCGTTTCAGGCATTTCTAATGTTAACTAGGTTCAACACGCTGGTATATCTCGTAAGCTAGATAAAGGGTTTTTTTCCTTGTTCAAATGTCACCTTTGGGTTACATGGGAGAAGACTGAATACCAGGCCCCCGAGCCGTCTGTGCAGTGTTCTCAGTTTCTTCCTCTCCTCTTTGCGTAACGATCATTTTGTAGAACAATCGAATGCTTTCGAAGAAAGAAAAGCAGACCAGAAAACCAAAAATCTGTCGAAAAAGGTAGAAAATCGTTATTACAAGTTGAGGAAAAACGTTTTAGAGTACCAAAATCATTAAGTTTCACTCCTCAAAGGAAAACCCACCGTCCCCTTATAAGGCGGCTGGTTATGTTTTGTATGTAATAATTTGGCTTCAAACACTGAAAACGGATTCTACTCGGCGAACCACCAACGAATCTGAGTTCTCTTCATACGCCTATTTTCCTTGTAATAATAACAGTTCCCATAGTATAGTCGTAAACTTTTTACTCTGTGGCACATATTAAGGCTTAAAGGATAGACTGCCGTTCTAGATTACCAGTGCCAAGTAGAGTTCATCAAGGTTAATCCTTATAGCCGGGAGCAGTGAGTCGTAAGCCTTGGACATCTCATGCGCATGAAACACGAGGTTCACTGTACAAGCCACCAGTAAGATGGTCAGGATGATATGCACAATGAAGCACTGTGGAGAAAAAGAGAAAAGCTGAATCTGATAGGTTCAGAAGTAACTATATCGCCGGACGAACGATAAAACTTTCATTATCGTCATCATCGTCATGGTAATGGTCATCGTTATCATTATTTTCATCCTCATAGTCATCGTTATTATCACTATCATTATCATTATCATCGTCATCGTTATCGTTATTTTCATTGTCATCGTCATCATCATTGTCATCATCATTGTCGTAGTCATTGTCGTTATCACTATCATTGTCATTATCGTTGTCATTGTCATTATCGTTGTCATTATCATTTTCATTGTCATTACTATTATCATCCTCTAATGACTGTCATATTTTAGAAGAGTTTTGGGGGGAAAGACAGAGAGGGGAGGAGAGGGGAGGAGAG